CTTTCACAGAAGTTAAGTGATTAGTTATGATCATGTAGTGGAAGAACCATAATTAGAACCTAGGTTTCTTGGACTGCAATTTGATATTCTTGATGCTCAACTAAGTTGTGAAATTAAATTAGGGATGGTGGTTTAAGAAAAGGATTCACGTAAAACTTCTTTAGTTTATTTCCTGCATTTAACATATTTTTATTTCCTGAAGTTGTTCTTATTTAAAATTTAAGAACCACATAATACTATACTACATTTTGCTGTGAAAATCTCAAGGCTAACATATAAACACATCCATTCATTAAAATATCATGCTCATCCTTAAATGTGTTGAATGGAAAAAATGAAACCATGAAAAAAATAGCTCTAAAATAGGTGCATATCTATCTCCTCTTGAGTTGGGGAAAATCTTTCTAAGAATAAAAGAAATGGTAGCAAAAGAGAGGAAGAGATGAATAGATTTGGCTGCAATAACAATGAAAAAATTTTCTGCCAGAAATATTAACAAAATTACTATGGGCAAAGATCATAAATAGGTGGTTCTCAGAACAGATCTATACATGGTTATTCAACATAGAAAAACAGTGTTCATTGTTACTAGAAACCTAAACAAGAAATCTTATATTCCTTATTTGATTGGTAAAAATTATACTCATCCAATGTTAGGGAAGGTGGAACAGAAATTGGTAGAATATTTCTGGAAGGCAATTTGGCCATAACAAAATCCTTTAAAATATGTCTACTGTTTAACTCAGCAGTGGTCAGCTGCATGGATGTATATGCACAAGAATATTCATCTGTTGCATACAAGAATAAAATACTGAGAATTTTCTAAATGTACATTTTCCTCCTTCGGGTAGCCATCTTCTCTTCGAAGAGTGACCATTGCCTCTCTGCCCAGAAATATTGGAAATGCAGGAATGGTGAGTAAATTCCTATGTGTTCTTAGTCAAAAGCAAATTCATTTTCATGTGACAAAAATATAAAATTACTTCACTAAATTCATATTTTATTATTTCTTTAACATCTGAACTTTAAAGATGGCTGGGATAGAAAATAATGACCGATTCAGTAGGAGGTCAAGCAGTTGGTAAGTGTAATTTTATGGTTATTCTCTTGGAACCTTTTATTTTATAATTGGGCTAAAGTAAATGTTTGAAATAAGTGATATTGTAACATTTGATTTGTACTGCATATATGCAGAATATATGCAGAATAATTATAAAAATTGGCATATGATCATGAAATTGGTTTATTATGAAGTATTATGTGAATATGCCAAGGAAAAAAATAGAACATAAAATTTTGTATTGACTTAGGTAGTGGGAAATAAATTGATAACGGCTACAGATATGTTTGATTTGACAAGTGGCTATAATCATCTTCATTTAGGCGTATTTTGGGGTCAAAGCAGAGTGAACACCGTCCCTCATTACATCGATTTATTAGCACCTATTCCTGGGCAGATGCTGAAGAAGAAAAATGTGAACTAAAGTAGGTGAAGCTTGGGGTGTTTATTAACCTGACGTGAGCTGGGGCATAAAAATGGGGATCACTTTTATTCTATGGTGATGAGATTAATGCTGCATCATCAAAAAGATAATTCATTGTTTAAGACTTTTATAAACTATAAAGCATTATGTAAATGTTATTTGTGAATGCATTCACTCTTGTAGCACTCAGAACTGCAAGGTTTGAGGTCTTAAGTTAGAAAAGACCCTGAAATTTGCCAGATTTGTGAAGATTTTGTTTTCCTGTATAGGTATCTAGTCATTGGGGGAAAGGTCGATAAGAGCCACAGAAGTAAAATGTCTATCTACTTAGATTTAAAAAAAAAAATGAATTATGTATAACATATGTATATATAACATATAGACACATATGTAATATATGTGCACTATAGATACATCTGTCTTCCCTTTATGTAAATGAATAGTGGAAACATAAAACTCTATAGTGCTATCTCTATATCTAGCAAGTTAACCAAATAAAATATACTTCTCTAGTGAAAGGCAGAGCGCAAGAAGGAGGGACATGAAGCAACGCTGCCTCTAAGTCCTTGGGTGACCTTGGACAAACCACTTAACCTTATTTGGTCTCAGTTTCCTCATCTGTGGAGAACTTAATGAAATTATTTTATGTTCATTTTATACATGTTCATTGCATGCCTACTATGTGATAGACACTACACTCAATCTTAAAGGAAATAAAGATGAGTATGACATAGTGCCTACCCTCAAAGCCTTTTTTTTTTTTTTTTTAATAATCCTGGGAGCCTATTGCATGTGTTAAACTCTTTTCATATTTAGAGTTAACACAATGGATATTTTCTGATCTGGGTTAAAAAAAATCAAGAGTTTCCTTCAAAGGATTACAATCCTTTTTGTTGCTTTTTGTTAGTGTGGTATGATTTCTACTGAGAAGTCTTTGCAAACGAAAGATGGAAATCTCGGGAATCTTATAAGAATTCTGGCTTTTGGGCTTTGTTTCCTTTAAAAACTAAAATAAAATCTACCACATACATTCCCTATAGATGTTTGACTGGAAAAAAATAACAACAACTTTGAGACACGGGTCCCTTTGGCAATTCTGAGGGCATTATGAGCTTGGGATTTCAAATTCAAATCCAACTAGGAACTCATCACTGAATGTGATAATGAAACCATTAAGTTTTGTTCAGGTAAAGGAACCCCTCTTTAGATAATATGATTTTATTTACAGTATAGTCAATCCAGTTGCTATTTCCGAGCTCATTGAATACTAGTTTATTTTAACTAGCTTTACACTGAACATGTTTTCATAAACACTTTTAAAATTAAGATTTTTAGAGAAGCAATGACACTTTGATGTCACTCCAATTTAGTGTTGATCAAAAAACCTACAGAGGAGAGAGTAAAATCAACTGTTAATAGAGGATATTAAGAAGAATCCTATTGATAGAAGAATACTTAATGAGAAAAAATTTTACTATATGTTGAATAAAAAAATACACAGAGAAAAAAATATGGCATCCACATTCATTTTTTAAAGTGTGGTTATACTCACACACAAATATATGTAGAGAAAGAAATCACAGTAATAACATTGGTTAATTACGACTGGTGAGAATTGACTAACTTTTACATGTTCTTTGGCTAGTATCCCAACTTTCTACAGCAAACATTTATTCTTTTCTTAGTATAGAAATTTACTTTTTAAAATCAAATTCCTATAAATGGCTAAAAATACAAATTTGGTGATTTGACTTTTAGAATTAGATATTTATCAAATCTCTCTAAAGCAAAACAAATATTTGTGAGCCTCATTAGTACTACAGTAAAATTTAGCAATATTTTATAAATAATTAAAGCATATTATCCATAGTTTAAAATATTTAAAAACAATACTTATTTACAGAACTAAAGATGACTCAGAAACACCTGGAGAAGAAATAGTAGAAAGGACAAGAAAGCCAAGTCTTTCTGAAAAGAGAAATAATCCACCAAAGTGGGATGTCTCTTCAGTGTAAGTTGCCTACTTGCTAAATGATACCCTTTTGGTGGAATGGGGAGAGGTGAGGCAGGATTAACGGTATTAATCTTAATCAAATGACTTTACCAGAAGACTTGTCAAATTCTTAAATTTAAGATGAATAACAAACTTCACATGGTCTACAGGAGTTATCCCTGAACCTGAGTTACAAGATGCAGGAATGCTGACAGTGTTAGGAACCTGGCCCTGGAGCCAGATGGCCTAGGCTCGACTTCCAGCTCTCTAACCAGCTGTGTGACCTGGGCAAGTTCATCCGTTTTTGAGCACCAATTTCTTCATCTATAAAATAGGGATGCTGAGAGTACCTATGTCATTGTTTTGTGGTCATGATTAAATGAATTAGCACATGTAAAATGTGTTAGACACTGTACCATTTTCAAAGACTTACATGATGCTGCAGTAAGCTTTTTTAAAAGAAATAGAGTTTAAATTTCAGTACAGCAAAAGTCCAGGGTATGGTAAGAAATAAGTGACATATTTATATATACATACATATGCACGTACTTATATATCCTGTTCTACCCAACAATTTTTTGTTTCCACCGTAGGAATATAAGTTGCCTTACCTGATTGAAAGAATGAGATAAACACTCAAATGTACTTGTTAGCAGTTAAATAATGCCTAAATCATATAATTTTCTGATTCTTCCCATAGCACATCATTTCTTAACTCTAAAAATTTTAAGGGGGGCAGATGGTGGCCAAAACCAAGATGATAGATCACATTATGTAGCTTATTGCACAGCAGGGTTGATGGTATGCAGGGCAGATGGATGACTTGATTGGTATTGTTGGCAAAAGGAGTATTTCTAATAACATTATTGTGATTACCAAATTCTGAATTTGTATTTTCCTTGCAGTTATGACACAATAGCTTCCTGGACAACAAATCTCAAGACTTCCATCAGAAAGGCTAATAAGACACTCTGGCTTTCTGTTGCATTCTTTGTACTGTTTGCAGCTTTGATGAGCTTCCTCACAGGTCTGTTTTTCCAAAAGTCGGTGGATGCCGCTCCCACACAGGATGGGGACTCCTGGATGTCTCTAGAACATATCTTGTGGCCATTTGCCAGACTCCAACACAATGGGCCACCACCAGTGTGACTGCAGCACATCCTAATGTGTGTATCTTGCCTTTTAAAGTTTCAGTATCTGAACTTTGTAAATTAGTAACTTTTAGCTGGAAAATTATAGCATGGAACCAGAGGTTCTCAGGATGACTGTAAGATATTTTACATTCCTTCTTTTTGTGATTATCTCCCCAACTAAAATACAATGGGGAAGAAGCCTGCCTGTGATCTTTTAATGAGCTTTTTAAGGAGAAGATATTATATATTGTTTGTTAAAATTTATTGAAATAAAGAACCATTCAAATCTTCATACAGTGGAAGTTGAAAGTCTCAGTAGGCCAATATTCGTGGGAAAAAAAAACCCTACTTTTTAAAAGATAAAATTTGAGTATAAAATGCTGATTAGATCACTTTAATAGCCTATTTGAAATATATTCACTCATTACACTTTATTGAAGGAGCACCTGATTTTTCTCCCAGTTGCGTGATTCTTCATACTGAATAAAATGTATCAGTGGGGATTAAGAATAGCTGAGTAATCTGGTCGAGACTAGCATGTGGCAGACAGAGTCAATAAACTGGTAGTTGGAGCTCCTGATTTTCTCCTTTGCTTCTTCAGAAGCAAAATCTTTAACCATGTGATATAAAGTAGAATGAAATTCAGTTTCTTCTTTAAGGGCTTCAGAGAATGTCTCACTGTATTCGTCGATCTTGAGCCTTTGTGCTCTATCACCACTAAACATTAAAAGGGTCCAACTGGGATTCTCAATAGGTTCTTCTTTAGTAAGGTGTTCCCTCACCTAAAGGAAAAGAAAATTAGAGAAATCTGGTAATAGAGCCTCTTCTATTAGATATTTAGCAGTTGAGTCTTGAAGGGCTCAACCCAGGCCCTAAAATTGCTAACCTTAAATGAAACATTCTTAGTGTCCTATTTTTTAAACCATAAAACTGTTTATATCTTGGTGTTTACTGAGCTTATCAAAATGTATTTATTCATTCATCAAGTATTTATTGATTGCCAGGTGCTGTTCTAAGTGCTGGAGGTATAACAACAACAATGAAAAAAACAAAGAAACAACCAAACATATTAATAACTAACTAACAACTGCAATAATAAAAGCCTGTCTTCAAGGAGCTCATATTCTAGTGGGAGAAACACATAATAAACAAAATAAATAAAAACGGTGGCTCCTTTATGCTAAAACATTCATCAGTCAGCTTTTAGAATTGGATAAGATGCCTTCTTTATCAGGCAGTAGAAAATGTGCCAGAAAGTTAAATTGAAACCTAACCCTGTCAGAGGAGAAAGTTTGTGGATCATAGATATATTCATGTTAAAGGCTTCCATTTGTTCTTGAGAGATATAAGGACTCTAGCCTGAAGTCAAGAGCATTTGATACCATAACGGACAATGAAGGCATAACCTTTACATAGTTTGGTTTTATATTTTTGAGAAAATTTTTTCAAAAATGAGGTTTTAAAACTCCATTTTGAATGTTTTTTCACCTTTTTAAGAGGAGAAACCATGGTCTATATTCATTTAGCTTTTGAGTACCTTACCTTCTTTTGGTGGACAAAGTAGTTTTATGGGTTTTTGCAAACTATACCTTAAATACAACTTTTTTAGAATCACATAGTGTATTCCACCTGCTCCAACCAAACGCAAAAGCAGAACTTAGCAGGGCCATTTGTCGATAAGCTTTCATTTCTACCAAAGGAATCTGTCAATATAAAAACAAACAGAATTGATCAGAGAGCCTCTCAACAAGTCTCCCTTCCATCCTTGGCCTCCTACAGTCTTCTCAACACACAAAGATCTGTTTAAAATGTAAGTCAGATCACCCAACTCCCCTTTCAAAAGCAGGCAATGGCTTTCCCTTTCTCTCAAAGTAGAACCTGAAGTCCTAACAATGTTCCACGAGGGCCTCTGTGATCTGACATCCCCCACATACCCACATACACCCCGTTATCTATCTGACCTTACCTCCTTTTTCTTCTCCCTTGGCTCTCTCAGCTCCAGGTGCCCTAGCTTCCTTGCTGTTCCCCCAGTCCTCTAACACACCAGGCCACTCCCTCAGGGTTCTTGTTCCAGCTGTTCTTGACTTGGAAGCTGCTTCCCAAGATGTCCGCTTGATTAAATTCCCCTTCATGTTTTGCTCAAATCTTACCTTCTCATTGTGGCCCCTCCCCCAACATCCTATTTGATATTGTGTGTTGCCCCAACCCCACTATTCCTTATCTACCTTTTTTTTCCACAGCACTTACCACTTTTTGACATGCAAGATAATTTTATTTTTTATGTCTATTGTTTATTTTTGCCTCTACTAGAATGTAAGCTCCACAAGGGCAAGGACCTTTGTTTTATTCACTAATGTATCCTAAGCATCTAAAACTATGCCTAGAATACAGGTGTTCAGAAAAAAAATTCTTGAATATTCTGGAAAGATGAATAGTACACTACATTCAGCATTTGTGGAATAACTGGCAATTTGAGTTACTAAAACCAAGGTGTTTTTTTTGCTATGCATAAATGTACACACTAATCAATATGATTATTTTCAAATTTTATATGAATATCTGCCTGTATTGACATTTTCTGGTATGTTATAAACTTGTTCTTGAGTATAGAACTCTTCTGCCCAAAACACCTTTCATGATTAGAAGTTACTCTATCTTCATTCATATCATAAATGTTTACTAAACATCTGCTGTATTCTAGGAATATGCTAGGTGCTGGAAGAATCAAAGCTGATTAAGAAATGTGCCCCATCCTCAAGGAGTTCCCAGTTTACCATGGAAGGATCTCATTTAATTAAAGCCTTATGAGTAACGTGAAGCAGTATGCAGACAGGGAGGCTCTGCCAAGAAACAGAAGGAAGTGGGTTTTGTATATCAGTGGTCCTTGTATGTGTTTAATTTCACCTGACTAATCATGTCTGGGAAACTACTGAATCATTTACTCTTTCGAGAAACTTTACATATATCCAGTCTGGAAGAAGGAAGAAAATATACAAAATGTGAAGTTGCTCAGACTACCTTTGCACTAAATTGACCAGCTGTGGATATGCTCCATTTGTCAATTTGAAGATCATACTACAGGCTTACTTTCTTGGGAAAGCTTATTAAACTTGAGAGAACCCTGCATTTCTGGTCTTACCCTCTATTCTTTCCTTTCTAACTATATATTAAGTGAATATAGAAAACCCATGGTGTACCTTAAGATTTACATAAAATTTAGTACTTGCTGACATTCTAAATGTCCATTATATTAAATTTGGAAAGATGCATTCTTACCTTGTAGTTTATAACAACATAAAAATGAGAGTGTCCAGTAGGGAAGATATTCAATCCAGCTTCTTTCAAAGCAGTAATGAAAGAAACAGGAGTCATCCATTTTCCTTCCAAAATAGAGGAATGCTTTTTGTTATTTAGGTTGATTGACGCTAACATGCAGAGGTTTTCCTAGTTTCAATAAGAAAAAAGACACTTTTATATAAGTAAGTTAAAGAAATTATTACTTCATTATCATTCTGGTTCCAGCCTTTAGGTTTTGTATACTATTTTTTTTAATCCTATATCATTCTATATTAGAAAGAATGCAGGACAGATATGTTTTAGACCTGATCCAAAGGTCCACCACAAAGTCTCCACGTTACCTTAAGCAGTTTATCAACTCTTTTTGGGTTTTATCTGAACAATCAAGGGATTGGACTAAAGGATTTTTCAGGTCTCTTCCTATTTTATAAGTTGTGATCTAAGAACACTGCATGTGTTCATGTTGAATTACAATAGCTATTTGATAGCAATCATGTTGCAACTTTTAAGGATCATAATTTTCTTTTGCAGGTATAAGATTTAACATAATAATACAAAATTATTATCCAGTTTAAAGTTTGCAAAGTGGCAATTTGAAGGCGTACAGACTTCTCACCTCCCATCTGGTTTTAAAAGTAAAGTTTGATGATATTCTAATCTTCCTGCCACATTCATAAGGAATTTCAGGCTTGCTCTCTCTCTTTTTTTTTTTTTTTGGTGAGGAAGATTAGCTCTGAGCTAACATACATTGCCAATCCTCCTCTTTTTGCTGAAGAAGATTGGTGCTAGGCTAACATCCATGCCCACCCTCCCCTACTTTATATGTGGGATGCCTGCCACAGCGTGGCTTGATAAGCGGTATGTAGGTCCGTGCCCAGGATCCAAACCTGTGAACCCTGGGCTGCTGAAGCAGAGCGTGCAAACTTAACTGCTACACCAGTGGGCTGGCCCCCAGGTTCTCTCTCTTTTTTTAAAACAACTTTAGTGAGGTATATTTTACATATCATAAAATTCACCCATTATAAGTGCACGATCCGATGATTTTTTTGTAACTTTACTGAGTGGTGCAACTATCACCATAAATCAGTTTTAGAACATTTTCACCCCCCACCCCAATAAAATCCCTTATGCCCATTTACAGTGAATCCCCATTCCCGCCCTCAGCCTCACGCAACCACTAATCTACTTTCTGTCTGTCTAAATTTCAGGCTGTGTAGTTTCTGACTGGGGAGCAATAGAGGCTCGTCAGACCAGCCTCAAAGGAGATTTCAAATGGCTAGGTGATAAGATCAGGAACCCTCTTTAGAGTGGACCAAACACTCTCTGAAAGTTATACTGCAACCAGGCATTGGTCTATTCCTAGTAACTCTAGGGTACAAATTTGCCCTTCACTTATTACATGTTATTACCTATCCAATTAATATTTCATTTAGAAATTATAGCTCCAGGTATATTTTAAATATAAAGAACATATTTCAGTATGTAACAATATGTGATTGATTGCTTTGACACACTCTTACAGTCATCAAAGAGGTTTACCTCTTTCATATGACTTGCTATAACAGTGATTTACCTTAATTTGTATTTGAATTTCAGTAAATACTGTAGTCACAGTCAAAAGTACTTGATTCACATCAAGTGGTCTTAGTTCCCAAGACTGGTATGGCATGTTAATATGAGTGTCTTGAATCAAGGTAACAGGGCCAAAAGTTTCCAGGCTGAATGTTATAAGTCTTTCCTCTGATTTGTAAGATACATTGCTGATGCCATCAGTTTTCCAATGTTTACCTTTATAATAGGGAAGAAAGCGACATTAGTTTCATTTTTTCCCATACAAAAATAAGATGAGTGAAACCACCCAAATAACTGCAATGTGTATAAATTGATCTTTCACATTTTTTTTATCTTTCTATACATTGTAGGTATTTTTTTTCTTTTTTTGTGAAATTTTTGTTGTACATTATTGTTTATCAGTCACCATATAAGTGCATCCCTCCACCCCTTGTGCCTGCCCCCAGCCCCCTAGCCCCTGGTAACCACCAAAGAGTTCTGTCTGTCTGTCCGTGTGTTGGTTTATCTTCCACATATGAGTGAAATCATGCACTGTTTGTCTTTCTCTTTCTGGCTTATTTCACTTAACATAATACCCTCCGGGTCCGGCCATGTTGTTGCAAATGGGATGATTTTGTCTTTTTTTATGGCTGAGTAGTATTCCATGGTATATATATACCACATCTTCTTTATCCAATCATCAGTCGAGGGACACTTGGGTTGCTTCCATGTCTTGGCTATAGTGAATAATGCTGTGATGAACATAGGGGTGCATAAGCCTCTTTGGATTGTTGATTTCAGGTTCGTTGGGTAGATACCCAGTAGTGGGATAGCTGCATCATAAGGTATTTCTATTTTTAATTTTTTGAGGAACCTCCATACTGTTTTCCATAGAGGCTGCACCAGTTTGCATTCCCACCAGCAGTGGATTAGGGTTCCCATTTCTCCACAGCCTCTCCAGCATTTGTTGCTTTTTGTCTTGGTGATTATAGCCATTCTAACGGGTGTAAGATGATATCTTAGTGTGGTTTTGATTTACATTTCCCTGATGATTAGTGATGTTGAGCATCTTTTCATGTACCTATTGGCTATCTGTATATCTTCTTTGGAGAAGTGTCTGTTCTTTTCTTCTGCCCACTTTTTGCTTGGGTTGTTGGTTTTTTTGTTATTCAGTTGTGTGAGTTCTTTACATATTATGGAGATTAACCCCTTGTCAAATATATGGTTTGCAAATATTTTTTCTCAGCTGGTGGGTTCTGTATTCATTTTGATCCTGGTTTCATTTGCCTTGTAGAAGCTCTTTAATCTGATGAAGTCCCACTTGTTTATTTTTTCTTTTGTTTCCCTTGTCTGAGTAGACATGGAATTCAAAAAGATCTTTTACATTTTGAATAGAATCTCAACAAAAAGCCAACTTTGCTGGGAGTTTCTTCCTGTCTTTAGGATCAAGTCCAAACTCCTCAGCATGGTATGTAAGACCTTTAGAATGAAGCTCTGACTCACGTGTTTGCCTCCCTCCCTTGCCATTTCTCACACCTGTTTTCAGCTACACCTTTTTTTCCTTCTCCAACAACATCATATACCTCTGAGCCTCTGCACACAGTTCTTTCCTCCTAGAGTACTCTTCCTTAATCTTTTAGAGAACTTCTCTTCATCTTTTTTTAAACAATTTTAAAATTCACTTGTATTAAGTGTACAATTGTTTTTAGTACATTTACCCAGTTGTGCAACCATTACCATAATCCAGTTTTAGAACATTGTAGTCCTCCTGACAAGATCCCTTATGTTCATTTATAGTTAATTCCCATTTCCATCTCCAGGCCCAGGCAACGATTAGTATACTTCCCGTCTCCATTTGCCTTTTCTGGACTTTTCATGTAAATACAATCATATAATAGGTGGTCTTTTGTGTCTCTTACAACTCAATAATAAAACGCAACCCAATTTAAAAACGTGCAAAAGATTTGAATAAAGATTTCACCAAAGGGGATATATGAAAGGATAATAAATACATTAAAAAGATGCTCAACATTATCGGTCGTTAGGGAAATACAAATTAAAACCACGAGATACCACTTCACACGCATCAGAATGGCTATAATCCAAAAGACAGATGATAACAAATGTTGGCAAAGATGTGCAGAAGCGGGAAACCTCATGTGTTGCTGACAGGAGTGTAAAATGCCACAGCTACTTCGAAAAGCAGTTTGACAATGACTTAAAAAGTTAAACATAAATTTTCCATTCCACCCAGTAATTCCACTCCTAGGTAGATACCCAAGAGAAATGAAAACATATGTCCGCACAAAGACTTGTATGCAAATGTTCTCTTAGTCTCTAAGGCCCTGTTCAATATTCCATCCTATGAGAAGCCTCCCTTCACTCTCCAGATGGACCCAGTCACTGTACTGCTCTATGGCACTTTTATTTATTATATAACCTTACCACCCTGTATTATGATGTTTGTCCCCGTCTTCCTCTAGTACAATGTTGAAAACTCCCAAAGGAACTGTGTCTCATTTATCTCTATATTTCTTATTGTTCAGTATATTTATAGAACAAATGAATGAATCAGTCTCTTCCTGGAATGCCATCTCCATTTCCCCTTGGCTTTCTCCCCTCTCACATGGAGGGTTCCACTGACTATTTTTGATTCTTAAATTCAATATACATTATTTATAATTTCTATTTTTGTTTTTATATTAAAATTATTTTAATTTGTAAAGGTAAAAATTAAGTATTGCCTATAAATAAATTCTCCAAATTTCTAGTATTCGTGGCAAAAAGTTTTCCCATGGTTTAAAAATTACTGGAGTTGAGGCTGGCCCCGTCTTAGGGGTTAAATGCATGTGCTCCGCTACTGGCGGCCCGGGTTCGGATCCCAGGTGCGCACCGATGCACCACTTGTCCAGCCGTGCTGAGGTGGCGTCCCACATGCAGCAACTAGAAGGATGTCCAACTATGACATACAACTATCTACTGGGGCTTTGGGGAGAAAAAGGGAAAAAAAGGAGGAGGATTGGCAACAGATGTTAGCTCAGGGCCAGTCTTCCTCAGCAAAAAGAGGATTGGCATGAATGTTAGCTCAGAGCTCATCTTCCTCACACACACACACAAAAATTACTGGAGTTGTAGGTTACTGCTGTCTTAATGACTGCAGTTAGAGTCAAATTTTACATGTTATATTTCCCTGAATTATGTAGGGTAACATCTCTTGTCTAATTCTAATTTATTGTGAATAATTTTCAATGTGATCAATAAATATTTTGGAACATTACCGTTAAGGAAAGGAAAAGTGAAACCTCTAAAGCAACATGAAAGGAAGAAATTCTTCATTTTGATATATTTTATAGTTTAATGTACTGATAGAAATACACTGTTTTTAATACATAAACTATTTCTAGAATATAAATAATATCTTGTGGCTATGCCTACACAAGTAAAAATGTGGAGTATCGTAGCAATCATAAAGTTTAAACTACAAAATATTTACCTTTCTTGGTAGAGAAGTTCCTAAATTCTCTGGTCTCATAACTAAATAAATAGATTAAGTAATAGCTCTGTGCCTTAGTGATCTTATCTGTTCCCAGCCTATCACCAAGTATGCAAATCTTTTCACAAATAAATAGATGGATGTAAAATAATTCACATTAAAAACAAAGCTATACAGCTTTCATCCATGAGCCTCAAAGCTGCATATATTAATTCATAAGACCAAGACCTTTCAAAGTTCAGCCAGCCCAAAATGAGTATCTGTTAATGATTAGTGAATCATTAGCTTGTATCTCTGTTAGTACTTCTGGTTTTATTGATATTTACCATTTGGAATAAGCAATAATTGGTTCAACAATCGAAGTTATAAAAAAAGGCTTACAGTACTAATTTTCCTCTTTCTCAGTTTTCCCATTCACCCATTCACCCATTCCCCTTCCCCAGTACTTGTTTGTAATAGTATTTGCAATTTATAAATCATTAACTTTAAAATAATCAAATTTTAATCACTCCAATCTGAATTATTTGCATTTTTTGGCTGATTTCAGGACAGAGTAGGCTTTTCTTTTGTTTATGTGTTTTTGATTTGCTATACTATCTTGATATTTTTGTTCATTTCCTTATTTTTTTTAAACATAATGAGATAATCATAAAGTTACTGTTCAGAGACTATGGCAGATATGAATACTTTAGGAACTAATAGTTATGAAATTCAATAAATTTTTAAACTGCAATCCTTATTCATTTCCATCAAGAGCCGACGAAACAAAGACCCTAGAATTGGCATAGAAATACGTAATATTAGAAACTCAGTTGACACACGGCATTTTCTGTTTTGATTTAAGGATTTGTCTTATTATACCTCTTTTCATTACATAATTATCAAAGTTGGTTAAGGCATTGCTGTACCTCTGGCATCCCACCTTGCAACCACAGGATCTTCAAAAAAGATCACATTTTCATGAACCTCAAGCACGACCTCGATGGGTGGGAAAGCGTTTTCTGTTTCAAAATCTTCTGTAGTTTCTGGAGGATATTTATACTTCTGTAATCCTTCTGTGAGTATCTTTTTAAAATGACCAAAACAATATCAAGTTAGAAGCTGAGTGGTAATAGGTAAAGATGTAAATATTACTGAATAAGCTATATAGTTATTTTTAATAAGCCATGCAGTTTGGTCCCATTTAACCACAGATTGACTAACAAAATGTCACAACAAAATTAAAAGATAATGATTGAGGGAAAAAAAAAATCACTAAATGTGAATGTAATTACAGAACCCTCGTATGGGCCAGGTTCTATGCTGAGACTTACTCATCATTTTATTCCTCCAAGTACTCCTATAAGGCATATATTTAAAGAGATAATAACTGGGACTTAGGGAAATCAAGGAATTTGCCAAAGATGATTACAAAAGGACTTCAAGGAGGCACCAAAACTCAAAAACAGATCTATAGGACTCCAAATCCCATGTTCCAATACCTTGGTTCGGGTGTGTAGATGAAGAGAGAAAGAAGATAAGCAGCCTTTTGAGAAGTGTAGAGATGAATGGATGAAAGTAAATTAAAAATCATCACATTGTACCATCACACCTTAAACTTACACAATGTTATACGTGAGTTATATCTCAATAAAGCTAGGGGTGAGGGGAGAAAGTAAGCCAAAAGCAGAATTTTCTAGGCTAAGGGAGACGTGTGCATTGTCTGAATGTAGCAGAGAAGGATTAGGGAAGGGGGGAAGACTGAAAAATGTTACAAAATAGAGGAAAAAATTGGGGAAAAATTCTAGAGGAGATGGGAGATTATCAAAGAGAGACTTGAAAAAAAGAAGGAAGGTCTCTTTTGTTGCAGGAGAGGAAAACAGATGTGCAGAAGGGTACTTGGGGCTCAGATGGAGAGCATGGAGTGGTGGTATCAGGACGTTCTGACAAAATTCAAGAACAACAGATCTTTGGATGAATCCTTGAAAACCCCCATCTCAGGCTGGGACCTTCCTAGGATAAAGAGTTTTGAGCCTAGTTTCACCAAAGGTATATTTTTCTTGGACTTCCCCCTGTCCTTCAAATATCCCTGAAGTAAGGAAGGCTGATTCAAATAGATTCTTCAAAGTGGCTACAGACCAGATTCTCTCTCCCAGGCTTGCTCTAATAAATGCATTCTCACTTGTGGGGAGACGTAGAAAAAGAATGGCAATATCACTCCCAGAGGGCTGAAAATTAGTCCAGGGGGATGTGAAAAAATCATACTCCTTTATGTACAAAGCACAGATATACATACAGCATATTCATAGATATACAGTATATCTGTGGTATTAAAATTTCACAAGGAGGGCAGTTAGAGAAAAAAAATGTCTACAAAGTCTCCTTAAAGGCGTGATAAGGGAAAAAAATAAAAGTTGAGAAATACTGCTCTAATACAAGAATGCACCAAGGTCCTTAATGGGTAGGATTGTGGGAGAGAAGTGCCTGCCAATCTGTGTACATGATGTGTTAGAGCGGAGAGCAGGAGAAGGAGAAAGGGAGAGAGAGAGAAAAGAAAGGCAGGAGAGCAGGGAACAACATAATTGGGTATATTTGGGACACAAGCCACCATGAGGTAAAGTTAAAATGAACCAAGTCACTACTAGTGCAAGGGTTGCTACTTATTAAGACAGGAGTGAGAAACTCCTTGGAAGATTATCTAACAAACAACTGCTATCATCAGTATCCTTACTATTCAAAGTGTGGTCTGGGCATCAGCAGCATTGGCATCACTGGATCAGTGCTTCTCAAACTTGAATGTGCAGATGAATCTCCTGAGGGTCTTGTTAAAACGCAGATTCAGTAGATCTGAGGTAAAGCCCTAAATTATGCATTTCTAACAAGTTCCCAGGTGATACTGATGCTGCTGATTCATGGGCCACACTTTGTATATCAAGGATGCAGACCATTGGTTCTCAAATTTTAGGGCATAGTTTTGCTAAAACAGACTGCTGAGCCTCACCTCCAGAATTTCTGATTCAGTAAGACTGAGATGGGACCCATGAATTTGCATTTCTAGCAAATTCCCAGATGATGCTGATGCTTCTGGTCAAGAGACCACATGTTGGGAACCACTGATCTAGACCAGAGTACACAAACTATGGTCTTTGGAAAATCCAGCCCACCACTAGTTTTTGTAAATAAAGTTTAACTGGAACACAGCCATGCCCAGTCGTTTATGTACAGCTGTTTTAGCGTTACAATGACAGAGTTGAGGAGTTGCAACAGAGCTGTTATGGCCCACAAAACTGAAACTATTTACCATCTAGCGTTTACAGAAAAAGCTTGCTGGCATCTGATGCAGACTATCATTATTAAGGTCAAATTGGCATAATCTAAACATAGATTTACAGTTAACATGTATAAATTCTAGTTTTAAAATCCATATTATTTTAGATTCCTTTACTTTAGTATTCGATACAAATTTTATAAATTCAAGACAGTTTACAATTACATTTTTTCCTTTGTGCTTGCTTTATAGGGTTAAAGTTCATTAGATGTTAGATCATTTGAAATAAAGTAAAAATGTGAGAAATTATTCTACTCATAAATTTTGATTCAAGAATCAACCTACTTCCACAATCATCCAGCCCTTCATTGGTTTACACTGTGGGGGAAGCGCCAAAATATCCAAGTGGTACACTCCACCCAGAGTCATGAATTGGCATAAGTCAACCTCCTTCTCTTCAAAGAAATACGGCTTTTCATGAGCATTCTCTAACAGCAACAGCTGTGCTAAAATTGATCAGATTAATTCAGTTTCTAATAATTCAGTTTCTAAACAGATCATAACATTTTTGTATTTTCTTAGGAGAGAAATGAAAAAAATTCTAATACTGGTAAAGGAACTTTTTATTTAGCTACTAAAACTTTTCAAAAAGTGGTTAATTCAAAACTATTCACAAAGCTAACCTTGGCAGTGGGAATAGGCATGTGTAATGGTAGGATGCAGGGGAGGGCTCCATTTATATTTTATACACTAACATTTTAGGAATTGTGTACAATAAGCATGTTTTACTATTAAAATAAAAACTTAAAAAATATATTTTATTGTAGGGGAGGAAAAATAATTTTCCCTCTACCGTTCTGAGTTGTTGGCTGAGACCTCTGTAATAAAAGACACATTAATAAGAGAAAAACAAAGAGAAGTTTATTAACATGTATACCTCATGTATACACGGGAGATACCAAGGGAAAAATGAGTAACTCAGAGAGGTGGCTTAGAACTCCAGCTTATATAGATAGCATCTTCAACAAAGAATAATAAATTTATGGAGAAATGACATGACAAAGGAAAGCAGTTTTAGGCTTCTGAGGATGGAGATAAAGGCTAGTTTGTAAAGTTTGTTATGTAGATTCTCTGATGCCCTCTCTAAGCTGATAGGGTTTAAAGTAACCTCCAGGAATTAACCTTTGTCCTTCCTGGTAGAGAGGGGAGGAGGGACATCTTTGAAAATTTATGTCCTGCTTTTAGGCAAATAGGGGGAGGGTAAGGAGTTGTTTTACATCTGCATCTTTTCAACTGCTTTTAGCTCAAAATAATCCTTATGCCAAAGTAGTTTATTTTGGGGTGGCATATTCTGCTACCCTTCATTATAGAAGATCAAAAAATGGTTTAACACAACATTTGATAACTGCCAAATTAACTTCTTAAAATTGGACATTATGGAGCTAAGAATCTGAAAAAGGAAAGAAAATAGTGAAAAAATAAATTTTGGTCCATATATGAAATTAAAGCTAATTTTTTTTTCAACAAAAATAGGCCCAGTTCATAGAAAAAGACAGATGAAGGCTTAAAAATGAAAAAACTGGATTGGATAATCTCTTGTGTTCAGAAATTTTATGGGAAAATTCTATGATCCCATAATTATCAGTGCACAATCGGGGGAATATATGAAGTCACATATCACTGTGACGATTTCCAATTTCACCAAAATTCTTTCAATGTAGTGTCATGAAGAAGAAAGGAAAATCAGACCACTTACAGGTTCCACCCTTTACTAGCTGTGTGACCTTATGCAAGATATGCTAATTAACATCTCTATTCTCAGTTCCTTCCCCTACAAAATGAATACAATAGTATGTATCTTACAGAATTTGGGGGAGTTGTGAGTTAATACATGTAAAGAGCTTAGAACTGAAAGAGCCAGACACATAGTAAAAACTAAGGAACTGTTAGTCTTATTATTTATCATCACAATTTTCCTCTCCCATAAAAGGAGGCACACTGAGATGGCACTGAATTTAACTCATGAAGATCAGGCACTGAAAATTAATGGAAATATCCAAAGAAAATTCCAGTTAAGTAATCGCCCTTTTTTCCTTATGTACATTCAATAAATGCAGACTTTAATTTTCAAATGTATCTAATTAATAATCCATTTACCTAAAAAGAAAATAAGAACAGTGTGTCCAAATTTAGACATTTATGATATATATGATTTGAAGAGCACCATGTAGAAAACCTTGGTATTATTGACAGAGGTTCATGAATTGACTATAGTATCATATTTCTAACAGGAAAATGACCTCATAAGGGTTATAGAAAAATTATAAAGATATAAACCTAGCTGACTACTGAAACAAAAGTGTGTTGGAAAAAGTGAAGAGGTAGACAAGAAGCCTGTTATGAAAAATATGCTAAGAAATGTATAGAAAATAGATTCCTTAGAAGTTACTGGGAAAGAAGCATAATGACAAAGTTAATGGGAAAGATGTACATAAATCTCAAACTAAAAGATTTGCAAATTAGACATCACTATCGTTTTGACATTTTTAAACTATATCCAGTGGCTATTTGCTAGGATAAGATTGAATACAAAAGTGTTGAGAAATTTCTAATTGTGTATGTGTGCTTGTGAATGTTCATTGCAACATCGTTTGTAATAAAAAAAATTAGAAATAACTTTACTCTCTATCAATAAGGATTTAAATAATGTTCCATTATTGGATGGAATTATACAGCTACTAAAAAAGGTACGGGTGACCAATCTGTTCTGACTTAGAATAATGTTGAATATTGTGCATTTAAGTAGAATATATATAGTGTTCTTTGTATGTATGTAGAATACGTCATATAGGATAACAAATATTGTTAGGTGAAAAAATAATTTTCAACAAAAACATTTGTATGATATGATCCCATGGTTTTATTAAAAATCAAGAGAGAGAGAGAGAGCACAAATAACATTGTTAACATTGGTTATCTCAGAAGAGGGATTATGAAGAATTCTCATTTTAAATATATTTCTGCAAAATCTGATTTTTTTTTACAATGACCCTGCATTTCTTTTGTAAGCAGAAAATTCCAATAAAGTTAAACTCTAAAAATGTAATCTAGAAGAATACCTGCTAAAACTGTTTCACTTAATAATTTCATTTCTAGGTCGCATTTTGTGGCTTCAGGTTCTTCCTGGACCAAACTCTACAGAAAACACAAGGACAGATGGGTGTGATTGTCAGTGTGTCTTCAGCCCGGATTCATTCTCTTTCTGTTCCAGTTCCCACTTCAGATGCCTGCTACCTTAATTCTAGAGCCCCAAACTGACACTTGCTCTGGCATAAAACCGGACTCAAAAAAACAGTATTGTAAAAACCAAGTAAAATGAGAGCACATCTCCACAGATCTTTACTAGGGCAAGAGCTAGCCTGCTCAGATTCTCTGCCCTCAAGGGAAAATACACTAGGAAGCAATGCAAGCTATAAAAATATTATTTATATTTGCATTTGGGTTTTAGCCAAGTTTTAGATTTTGCTTGATTTCGGCAATCAGCTCTGTGATCGAGTAATTCCAAAGCCTGCTTTGGGGTAAACCTCTCAAGGAAATGAAAGATGCCATGCACCAAGTAATGTAGAAGATGTTATCTCATTATACTCTAGTGTAGTAAAAAGAATACTGTAGTAGGAGGGCATAAGATCTAGAATTTGTCTAAATTTGTCACTAACTTACCTTTGTGACCTTGAGCAAGTCATTTAACCATTATGGGCCTCAAATTCCTAATCTACCAACATATTTGGTACTTAACTGTGAGCCAGACATATAATACATCTTGTAAACAACACTAAGAGATGGTATTATCTTCATTTTACAAAAAAGGAAACCCAAGCTTAGCAAGATAACTGTTCTAGCGTCAAATAAAATAATAGAAGTAAAGAATTTTGTATACTGTAAAGCACTAGATAAATGCAGTGTTGTTATAAAAATTTGGTATGCGCTAATATTTGCAAGCTGGATGATATCCAGCAAACTTCATTTGACCTCAAATACCACCTGTATTTCTACAGCAATGGACTAATCTTATACCAGAATTCTACTCAGAAGCTTAAAGCCAGTTAATCTCACCATGTCACCCTCAACCACCACACAAAGCCAAGTCCCCCTTAGTGAATTATCCTTTCCCTTACTCTTATCACTGTATTGCTCTGTGTCCTCCCCTTGACCAGTTTTAACACTATTGCATTCTCTGTCAACCCTTTCTATCGTGCCTGTGAAACTTCTCACTGATTAACTCAATCATTCAAAGCATTTGACAGAGTGCCTCAATTGTACAGGCATTGCTAAATACTAGGAACAAAAAAAAAAGAAAAAGACAAGGTCCCTGACTTAAGGAACTTCTAGTCTATTAGGAAGCAGGTAAACAAATAGGTATAATACAGTTTTGTGGGCGCTGTAGTAAAAAGTAAGGAGCCCACAATGGGAATACAAAGGAAAAACAATCAATCTTGTGGGAAAAATATTCTGTGGGTGGGTGAAGAGAGGGAATGTTACCCAAAATTGGTAAACTTTGAACTGAATCTTGAAAGATAATTAGGTCTTCCCCAAAAATGGTGGGAGAGAATTCCAAATGTGAGTGAAGGCAGAAAGGAATGAAGCAAAACAGAGGGTTCCAAGCACCCCAGGTGGTCATGTATGGTTGGAGTGAGGCAGGCTAGGAGGGCGTAAAGATCGGAAGCTGGAGAGAGGCAGGGGCCAGATTGTGGAGATGCCACTCTGAAGACTAGAATTTCTCCTATGGGTAAAAGAGAGCCCACAAAAGACTTTTAATAGGAAAGTAACATGAAGAAATTTGCATTTGGAAAGAGTCTTCTGGTGGTCAGCCGATGAATAGATTGCTTAGTGAAGAGTAAGAAGTCCAAGGTAAGAGGATGAGGGCCTAACTCAGGGTAGAAGCAATCGGGGCCATTGGAAGGAGCATATATGAAGAGAACGAAGCACGATCAACATACCTTGAATGGCGACTGGATACAGAAGTAAGGCAAGGGACAGGCGAAGGCTGATTTTCAGGTTGTCTGGCTTAGGTAATAAGGTGGATGGTGGTAAAATTATCAAAAAAAGCAAAGGAAGAAGGACAGGTTTGGGGAAAAAGTAGTCAATTCGATTGTGGATATGTGGAATTTGAGTGCCCATGGGACATCTAGGTAGCCTTTGATATTATCTACCATTAAAAAGCCAGTTGCATTTCTTTCTTACAGGAAGGATTATAATCATTAAAAATACCAAAGATACCAGAACAATAAGCAAGTCAGGCTTTCCAATCCATATCTTCAAAAAGTTGAGAATTTTTCAGAGTTTAGAGCAAACTGGGTCTTATTTGCAGGAAGACTAAGAATTTAGACTTTCTCAACAGAACTTTCCCCTTGATAACCACAGCACGTCAGCATGCAACAAGAGGAATTTATCAGCTTCTATATTATCATAATATAGAATAATAGAATAATATTATATACATAATATTATATACATAATAGAATATTATATGCATAATATTATATACATAATAGAATAATCTTGTATTTAACACATTGCCTTTACATAATTCACAGTTTTTACTATTTTATGTTCCTCTTTAGCTCAACTGACTATTTTTGAAGTTAGACTTCTTGATGAAGGAAGCAATGTGTCAATTTACATTCTGGTGCAAGCTCCTTAATCTTGATAACTACTCTATGATGTTTTTCTGTCATTACAGCTATATCATCAGATCACAATCCTGCACAAAACTCAAACTCTAAACCACAGTTGTTGACAATGTAATCCCTCATAGTTTTATACATTATAAAGCTCCCTGTGTTTGTTGGCAATGAAGCTGAAAAAAATACTTCTTTCTTTGTATTATCACCACGTTTTATATCTGGTAATCAAAAGTCCTCTTCCATCATAACTATTTTACAAAATTGGCTATTTTTCCATGTATATTCTTTTCTTCTAGATAAACTTTAATAGTGTGTTGTCAAATCTCAAAAATTACCAACTGGAAATGTTTTTGAATTGCACTAAATTTATAGATTTATAACAAACCTATAAAAAATAACATTTTCTAAAAAATGTTTGCCTGGAAATGTGGACAGAATATGAAGCAGAGAAGGTAGCTAAAGTATAACTTTTCAATAACATCTTGGCTCAATAGATACAAGAATTGGCTTATAAGATGGAAGAACTCCATGGAACACTAGCAAAGTATTTTTTATTGCAACTTGATAAATGTGCAGATATTATAACAAGAAAATTCTTTTAATATACATGCAATTTGAATTTGATGTAAAAACATAACCTGGATCATGAATAAGATCAGTGGAAACAGACTAGAGATTCCAGAAATAGATCTCAGGATCCACTTGGGAATTTAGCATATGGCATTTTAGATCAATAGGAAAAGCCTAGGTTTATATGGTGTTTTGAGACAGCTGGCTAGATTTGAAATAAAATAAATTTAGATTCTTTCTTCCCACTTTACACTAAAATAAATTCCAGATGGATGAAAGATTTAAATGTAAAAACATAATTAAACCAATCAAAAGCCACAAAAATCATGAAAGTATTTGAAGAGAACATAGAAGACTGATATCAACAATTATCAATGAAGTAGGTGATCTTGATATTGCATATCTGCAAAACGCTAACACTGAATAAAAATTTGATAGAATGTCTTGAATTTTATTGTCCATCAAAAGAAGATCTATACAAAGGAAATTCATTGATCTAAAATCCAATTTTTTCATCAAAAGATCATTTAAATTTAACTAGAGCTTCAGAATAAATTGTTGGTAATGGCTCTTGATAAGGAATTGATGATGAATTTTGAAAATACAGCATCATTTGTCTCATTTTGGACAAAAGTTAAGAATGATTATCTTGAGTTTGCTGAAGTCTCTTTCACTCCTGTGGTTCTAAGACCATCTATAGTCCAGCAGTTCCCAAGTCTATGCTAGTGACGCTCTTCAGAGCACACAACACACTCTGCACTGCTCAACTCTAGAAGTACAGTGCAGAGTCTGCACACGAACATGGTAGCTGTGTCTGCCTTTCCTCAGAACTCCAGGTTCACTTTTGCCCTCTTGACATTTCCATTTGTGTGTCCCAAACTTACCATACCCAAAACAAAACTCTCGTTTTGCTGTCACTCTCAATCAATTCAGGCCATTCCTCTCCATCTCAGTAAACTGCACCGCCATCTGCTTAGTTTGCCAAAATGAAAACTCAGCAAGAGTTGTTTATTTTACCTCCAAAACATATCCCAAACACATCCATCTTTGCATGTCTCTTACTACCACCTTTGTCCAAGTTACCATGACCTCTCATGCCTCCTCGGTGCCATTTAACTGGTTACTGTGCTTCTACTCTGGCCCCTCACAATTTGTTCTCTACATAGTAGCCAGAATAATCTGTCAAAGCCATAAATCAGATCATGTCACTTTTCTACTTACAACCCTCTAATGGCTTCCCATTGGGTTTACAATAAAATCTTAACTTCTTACTGGCCTGCAAAGCCCTGCTTCAGCTGCCTTCTGCTTCCCTCTCTGACCATCACATACCACTTTGCTCCTTGCCTACCATATGTCAGTCAACCGGCCTTCTTCCTGGTCATCATTTCTGTCTGATGACCTTTGCAGTAATTGTACCCTCAGACCAGAGTATTTTTACTCTAATCATTGTATAGCTGATTCCTTCTGGTCATTCAGGTCTCAGCTTACATAACTCATCATACAAGCCCTCCCTAATCACCCAATCTAGTCATCACCAGACACTTACTATCACTTAATCCTGTTTAATTCTCTGCGTGGCATTTATTACTATCTGCTGTTTTCCAATTTTTCTTATTTATTGTTGGTTTCTCTTGACTTGTATGTAAATTATGAGAGCAGGAATCTCATTTGTCCTTTCACCACTGTCCCCTGAGGGCCAGAACACTGCCTAGCATTTATAGGTAGGCATTCAATAAATGTTTGTTGAATGAGTACAGAAATAAGAACAAGGTCCAGGGTACAGAAATGTGTTGGAAACGGGTTGCTGAAGTAAATATATGGGAAGTTGAAGGTTGTTGAATATTAATGCTAGGTTTTTCACATGGGCTATTCTCACGGATTTTTAATTTATCTATGATGATGCCAAGAAGTCCCTGACTCTCTAAGGCTATTTCATGTCTA